TAAAATTTTGATGATAAAACCACACCAAGATCGAAATTTCTTCAACCTGTGCTTATTTCTACCTAAAACTCTTCTAGTAAAGCTCAAAGAACAGCAAAAAAATTTATTTCAATTGTTTTTACATACAACATAAGGGAAAAGAAAAAAGATTAATAAGCCAACTCGCTCAAGTCCGGGCAACAAACAAGCAGCCTGTAACCCACATAGTGAGTTGAGTCGGGTGGTTCTGAGTCGACTATCCGATTTTTCAAATATTGCATGTAACCTCTGTTTTATGCTTTTCTCTCCAAAAATTGATATAGTATAGGTAGGGTTTCTTATTAAAGAATCTATAGATGTTATTTTTACCACTGCACAGAAAGGTTCTCATTCTTTATAAGTATACTATTTCGAAATTTAGATATTCAAAAGAGAAAAAATTATAATTTTTATTGTGAAATCAATGGGATATCAGCATTACAAACATCAACATTGCAATTAGGTATTTCAACCATGTATTTTTTTTTTGTTGTTTACAAAGAGACCATTTGTCTTTTGTACATGGATGTCACAATTATTCACACTCATTATATGTTAAATTGGATGGTTTGGGGTGAGTCACTAAGTCCGATAATATTTTTGGAACTTTGTGTCTATTCAATGGCACTTTTACAACCACCCATTTTTAAATTTAAGAGACACAAATGATTGATGTATAAAAGATAAATGATTTCTTTGTATACAATCCCACTTTTTCATTGTTGTCTTAGGGTGCAAAAAGTTCGAAATCCATTTTCATACCCTGATATTACTTTATGATTAAACTTTGGTGAAGAAACAAGTGCGAATGAGAAGAACATGAATCCAGGTGTCGATAGAAGAATTCATTGGAATAATCTGATGAGGGATGGATAGGTGAGAAATCACAGAGAGTTTTAATTAGAAGTTCTTTTACCTCATCTACCAGTGAGTTTGTGTTCAATTATTAATGCATATTACCTCCCTCTCTTAACAACCCCCTGAAAACCAATTCACACCATGTAGTGTATAGAAAATCGACCAATCCGAATAACTCGATCGAGTCTATTGCCGAGTCCTATAATTAGTTACACACCAAAAATAGTGAAAATAAGGAAAACAAAAGCTAACAGAAAAGGGAAAATTTTCTAAAAAGCATTCCAAAAATAAGAAAAAGCTGAAAAAGATTAATAGAATCATTAGGAGACTAGTAAAAAGCTATAAAAGATGGATTATTGAAAAAGTGGATTTATACCTTGAATATTTCAAAAACATTAGGAAAAAAAGAAAAATATAAAAGTTCCCCAATGATCTTAAGAACCGACAAAAATCTTCTGAAGAAGTATTTCCAACTGTTATGCTAGTGTTTTCTTTTTTGTATATATTTTTGACTTGGCCAAGTCCTAGCACACAATTACCAATGGGTCCCACTACATACATAGAAAAGTTTCAAGTATAAAGACAATATCAAACTCCACACTTGGAAAAATTTCTAGTATGGAGCAGTTCGATATTGCTAATATAGAACTTTTCCATATTTAAAAAGGGTATCAAAGTACGGAAATGCTCCATACTCGAAAAAACTTCGAAGTACGGAGAAATCTCGATATCGCTAATATAGAACAGCCCCAGATAAGCAGCAGTTAGATTTTTAGTGGTTTAGTACCACCATATAGATAACCAAAATTCACAAAATAAAAAAGAAATTACAGTTTGATGTTGCTAACATCAAATGGGGGGCAAAACCAGAAGGGAAAAACCACAAGAAAATAAAACCTCGTCATAAAATTAGGAAAATTAAACCTTAAGGCAATAACACAAATATTACCCAATCCTTATGCGAATTCCCTTTACAAAACGGTTAGTGACTAGAAACTCAGCCCCTGGCAAAGACTTTATTCAAGTTCTAAAGAAGAGGATCATGCTTAAGAATTGCAGAGTTCACTCTCTGGTTCTTTGTAAAATGATAGTGAAGAATTATGAGAAGCCTATCTTGGATATTGCAAAGCATGGGGGAGGTCTTAGGAAGAACTTTGGCCCTTACCTCTTTTAGGGAGCCAAGAACATCAAATCAATAATCATAGGACAATGTTTTGATAGGGCTGCAACCCTATCAAATTAAATAAAACCTTACCTCAAACTCATTGAAAATTATTGTTCTGGTTTGGAAACCTTTTAAATTGATCATCTCAGCCTCGACCATTATAGTTGTACAAAACAATAAGATTTCAAGCCCTAAAAATAGTATCATATTTTAGCACATTTATTTTCCCCCAAAAATAAGTGTTCACAAATTCACAAGATCTGTATATGTTTTTAACTTTAAATTTAGTTGGTGTTAGAATTGATTTTAGAGCCATCATAAAGATTTTGAAGCCCAAAGTGCTTTCCAAACAAGGATTCGAGATGCGGCTTTACTTTGTTTTCATAAAGCCTAGGCCTTCTAGAAACTGCATCCGTAGGAAAATGTTTCATATGGCCACAGCTCAATAAAAATAAGTAGGGCTGCAGCCATCCAGACTGTCCATTAATTTGGACCGTTCGGATTGCTTAGAGAAGTGAACGAAAGGTATTAGGGCACGGGAAGCCTCAGTTGCCTCTTTTTCTTTTTCTTTTTTTTCCTATTTATCCATCTTTCCTCTTTATGAATCTACTGTCAATCTCGTTGTCCAACTTCTCTTTCTAACTTGTTGTCTCTCTCAAAGCTTTACCAAGGTTGATTTAGTGTGTTTGCTATTGGGGTGGGGGTTTGTTTTGTAGAGAGACTTTGTTCATGGAATTTTTTAGGTGTTTAAACTTTTTAGGAACAAAGTCTCTCTATAAAATGAACCCCCACCCCAACAGCAAACACCCCGCATCAACCTTGGTAAAGCTTTGAGAGAGAGCAAGTTAGAAAGAGAAGTTGGACAACGAGATCGATAGTAGATTCATAAAGTGGAAAGATGGAGAAATGAGAAAAAAGAAAAAGGAAAACGAGGCAACGGAGGCTTCCCGTGCCCTAATACCTTTCTTTCGTTGACTTCTCTAAGCAATCCGAACTGTCCAAATTAATGGACAATGCGGATAGCTGTAGCCCTACTTATGCAGAGAAGAAAGTGACTTCAGGTGCGATGCCCTCTAGTTATGCAGCCACTTATTGGGGCAGAAAAGAAAGTGACTTCCCTAAGCAGTAACTTTGAGGTGTTTAATATTTGGGGCAGGTCTTGTTTTGTAGAGAAGAAAGTGAAAGTGACTTCTCTAAGCAGTAACTTTGAGGTGTTTAATATTTCGGCAGGGCAGGTCTTGTTTTGTAGAGAAGAAAGCTGACTTCAGGAGCTTTTGGTTTGGATGTGGAGAAAATGTGCAAATTGAAGTGGGGAAGAAATGGAGGTTTAAGGTGAGGGGAAGTAGGCTACAGGACAGGCAGATGATGATGAGTGTGAAGTTCAGGGCAGAGTCAAGCCTTGAAGGCTTTTGTAAGCAACCCTTCAGTGAAGGGACAGGGCTTGTTTACAAATAACCCAAACGGTCTCCATCCCCACCAATGCATGAAATTCTTGCAGAATTTATAATACTACTTATGAGATTTACATGCAGTGGATATACCTGCAAAAGTAAGAAAATAAAAATTGTAGAGAAAGAAGGCTATGCTTCAGTTGCGTTTCTTAAAGAGAATTTCAACTCTACAGTTAATAGGATCCTGAAAATTTAAAGTTTCTACCTCTAGGGCTATTTTTCTTCCATCTTTTATTGGAATCCGGATTATGTAGTGGTCTTGTGGTTGAGATCTTTCTCGGCAACCATTATGGGCAGTTTTTATGGGTATCTGGTTTTTACATGAGATTTTGAACTCGTTTTCTATTGGAGAATTGAGAGCGAGAGAGAGAGATATGTGATTTGGGTGAGAGGAGAATGGGAAATCCTGTGAAAGAAGAGAGAGAGAGAGAGAGAGAGAGAGTAGGTGATTTGGGGAGACGAGAATGGGAAGTTCACTAAAAAAAAAGCGTAAATTGCAGAGAGGTTGCAGGGGTAGTAAATTTGGGAGTGATGTGGGTGTGAAGGGTCAGGGAAATCGGATGGAATAGAAAGAAAATGGATGCAAATCAAATTAAATAACATTAACACGAGGGAGAGAAGGGAAGGGAAAGGAAAAGACGTAAATTGCAGAGAGGTTGCAGGGGGAGTAAATTTGGGAGTGATATGGGTGTGAAGGGTCAGAGGGAAATCGGATGGAATAGAGAGAAAATGGATGCAAATCAAATTAAATAACATTAACACGAGGGAGAGAAGGGAAGGGAAAGGAAGAAAAGGAAGTTTTGAAAAGGACAAAGGTAAATTAACACCAGAGCTCCCGGTTCTTCAGGTTTTTTTTGGGGCAGCACAAAAAATCTGTACTGTGTAGATGAACGGTGCATAGGCGGCAGCCCAACTTCAATAAATAGGGCTGCAGGCTTATAGAAACCGCATCCTTTGTCATAAAACATAAAGGTCCTACCCATAAGAGATAAATTATTTAATATATTACCGTTTTGCAACTATTCCATGAATACGTGTTTTTTTACAGGGTCTCAAAAGAAATGCGTAAAATGTATTAGTTCATAGTTATTTGGATAAATTTCCCTTTCTTGGTTGATGTTAACAAACTTCCTTCAATGCAAATACGTTCCTAAATCTCATCACACACCACAACAAATTAGAAGAATGTTTTATTTTCTAGTCAAAAAAGAAAGAATTTAAGGATTAAAGCCCCTTTTGGAAGTCCGAGTAGGCATATTAGCGATGTTTGCAGGCACTTATGAACATTGGAACCTTTAAGTGATCAAAATAACAATAGGATCCCAGTTTTTGCCCATAGCAGCAAAAGTTTTCCTTATTTTCGCATTATAAAGAAATCCTGGCGTTTCACCAAGCTGGAGCATCACCCATTCAAGTTTGACTACAAGAAAGTTTTCATTCCAACAGCCAAAAACATGGGTTTCCAAACAGGGCTAAAGATTCGGAATGTCAAGAATGGATTCAGCATATCCAAAGAACATCGCATGGGCTTAAAGGAACCACAAGACATGGGTTGATTAGACTGCAGAATAGTGTTTCAAATGTTTGCAATAATAACAACTTCCATTCGCAAACTATTACTTACAAAATTATACGCACAACCAAGAGTATCAAATGAGAGTCATTTACTCAGACGGCGTTTTTATGGATGTGTTCCAAACTGAAAGGAAAACCATTTCTTCCTAAGTCTGGTTCTACTTTCATCTCTGCTGAAGCGCTTCCGGATCCTCTTTTAAGACAGTAATCTCAAGGCCGTCCCTGCATCCAAGAAGACAGTCATACCAAAGATCCAACAACAATGATGCATGCATGATACAAAATCAAACAATAACAATGCTGGACAAATAACATATATACATGCATGAGAGAGAGGATTCAAGTTTCTTTAATGGGGCAAACAAGAGTGTCTTCTACAGAGTTGGCTGTTGCAGAGAGAGAGATGTTTCTATAATCAGGAGCACCCAATTTTTTATCAGCGGCAAACCCTATTTACAGAAAGATCCCTTGCTTCTACACATTTGCTCAGATACACTGCCTAGCCTTTCCTAGTGTATTTGGGATTTACCATTTCTCTGCTATGGGAATTACTTTACTTTTAGAAAACAAATTTCTATCAGAGGCAAACCCTATCTACAGAAAGATCCCTTGCTTCTACACATTTGCTCAGATACACTGCCTAGCCTTTCCTAGTGTACTTGGGATTTACCATTTTCCCGCTAGGGGAATTACTTCTTTACTTTTAGAAAACAAATTTCACCAACAATGTAGTTATTAAGATCGGAGTGAAGGTCAAATGAGTGGAGAGCAGTTTGGTCCTACCAGTTCACTGGTCAGATCAGGCAAAAGTTAAAATTATTCAAGAAGAATACAGATAAATTGAAAATAAAAAAATAAAAAAAATAGGAGAAAACCTGGAAAAATGTAGAAAAATGAAAAAATATTAGGAACTAGTGTTACGAGACCAGTCTAAAAAGTATAAACAAAAAATTATAGAAAAACTATGATTAACTAAAGTAGTGTTATCAGCTACTGTCGAAGGCTTGCGCCGCTTCTGTGGAACTACCTTATATTATAGAATAGATGGGTGAACAGCCAGCGATTTGGTTCTGTGAAAGTTAACATACCACCTATCTTGGAACTATGGAATTAGAGTTAGACCACCTATTTATAAGGAAAGCTAATGGAATGAGCTTCTTTACTATAACTACAATATTTGATTTTGATGAAGGGAAGTCTTTTATCTGCTGAGCTGTAGGCGTTAAACTGTCGGAATTTGATCATTGTCTTGCTGGGCGCCGGCTAAACTTTGCTCTAAGGAAGACTCTAGATAGACTAACGGTCTCGACTAATCGAGCCATTCTATAGGCTACCGACGTGTTGTGAGACCAGTCTAAAAAGTATAGACAAAAAATTATAGAAAAAACAAAAAGATCTGGTCAAAACCAGGCTGAATTGACTCGTTCACATCAGTTCAAATGATTCGACCGGTCTGAACTGGCTAATTCAAACTGGTTTTGACCAGTTTGATGCCCACCCCAGTCAGGACCCCTCAAACGACCAGTGGGGACACTGCTTTGAACCAGCTTGTCTGGTATGATTTTAATAACATATTGGTATTGAATGAGACCATTTACCTTTTGTACAAGGTGATCACAATTAAGCTTTGACAATTGGATGTGAAATTGGGTGGCTGCATTTATTCCATTGACCAAGCTCAAACTTCAAAAGAAATTTTCTCAAACTTTGTGACACAACCAAGCTATCAAATTTCACATTGGATGGTTGTAAGTAATTGTGACACCTTGTATCAAAGATAAATAGTCTCATCGTGATATATATATATATATATATATATATATATGTGTGTGTGTGTGTGTGTGTGTGTGTGTGTGTGGTGGTGTGTGTAGTAGTAGACGACGAACGTACTACTAAACTAACTAACGTAAGTAACGTACCGTACCTTAACCTTACGTAAGTACGTAGTAACGGTACGTTACGG